TACTTTAGATCATAAAATAAAATACATTCAAATACATTGAGCAGAACACTCAGTCAAACCAATACTTAGTAAACACTTGCATCACAAAGAGAAAATAGAAGTGTTTCAGCTCTCCAAATACAATTAGCTATGACGAGTCAATTCAGGGCAACACAAGCCTGTCCAATGTGATTGAGTTTGAAGCTGGTCACTGGATAATAGAATTTAGTTGAATTGAATTTAAAGCAGTGCTGTGAATGCTGCTGCTGAGCTCAGTAGGAATGCAGAGGGTGGGGCTGTACAGACCTAGTGAGTTTATAAAGCTTTGCATTGGAAACACATCAGAATTCCCCTCTCTGACCACAAAACCAGAAATCACTAATGACGGCTGTGACACTTTAGCTCACAAACAGACTTGAAAAGGAGTGGCAGCAATACATGAGTCATATTTAATTGCTTTTTACTGTGTTATAATCCCTGTGAATACAAGAGCAATTCATGAAATATATAAGGCATTTAACATGAAATGACCAAATCTATAATGTCCAATGATTAAATTTTATATTACATTACATTTTATATTACTGTATATTTTTATATATGACATTAATGACAAATACAGTTCTTAGCTTACATCTTCCACGCAATTGTCTTAAAATAATAATTACACCAGCATATAATGACAAACTGTAGTGTCAACCGAAAAAAAATATTCTAAGAGTTTATACAATAAATGATCTAGAGCATGAAATATGGATAATGCTTAGTCATCTCTGACCTTGCATTAGGATCAGGGTGACAGCATGCCTTTATGTGATGGCTATAAAAAAAAGACACAACTGAAAGTTAAGGAAGAGAAAATACTGTTTTAAGACACCAAAAACACATTAGATGAAATGCAGCAAACTTGATAAACATAAAAACAACATATTACATTCTATATTAGGAATAATTAAGCAGTAGTTAAACATCTGTGCATTGCGAGTTATTACTTTACAATTTCAATAGTTAATGAAATATGGTTCGATCCGAAGCTCCTAATTTTGTTCAGACCATGTTATGTAAATAGTACTTCTTAAAGGGACAGCTGACCCAAAAATGAAATTGTGTCATTTATTCACCCTCATGTTGTTCGAACTACTTGTTTTGTAGAACACAATATACAAGCAATACAATGAAAGTCAATGGGGTCCAAAGATTGTTTTGGATGAAATTGTCTTTTAATGTAAGGATAAAACGGTTAAATTGTTTATCAGAATCTATTCTTAAGTGCTCCAAAGAAGAAAGTCATACAGGTTTGAAATGACATAAACATGAGCAGATGATGACAGAATTTCATTTTGGGTTAACCTGTACCTCTAAGACCCTTTTAATAACAGTCTATTGAAAGGGTCAGACATGATTTGAGAGTGGGAAAGTCAGACCAGCTTGGCTTGAGATGTCACTTGAGATCCAGAGGAAGTCCTCTGCTTGGTTTCCTGCTGCTCAGCATCTCTGAACAGTCCCTTTGGTTGACGTGGAGGAGTGAGCGGAGGAACTGTGGGTGACTGAAGGATATCTGCGTACCTTTGGCTCGGTTTGGTCTCCCTTTGGAGAACTTTTCTGAGCAGCGGTTTCAAAAGCCCAATGGTGACCTGGCTGCCATGAGCCTCGAAAGGACCAGAGTTCTGCATTGAATCAGGCAGGTTTTTCAATACAATATTAAGTATGCTCATCACAGTCATGTCCTCTGGACAAAGAGTCCATAGCAGGTCCAAATAGGGGTCCAAGTCTCTATGTTGGGACACTTCGCACAGCAGAGCAATGAAAATCTCTTTGTTCAGAAGCGGGCTCTGCCGGCAGAACCTCTCAGCTACTTGCGCAATCCATTCCCACTGTCCTTGCTTGATGAGAATCCGCAATGCTTGCATTATCGCTTTAGGTCGCTCGCTGCACAAAAGCAGCTCCACTTCTAGGTGTTGGTGGGTCCCTTTGCAAGGGAGCACAGTCAAGGCCCGTTTATAGAGTGGCAAGCTCTCAGAGCTCTCCTTCATGCTGTAACCCCACGAAGATTTGGAGGACCCGCCTGATTGTTGTTGTGCCAGTTCGAGAAATCTGGGGAGCCAGCTGGGCTGGAATTTGAAGATAGATTGGCACAAGAGCTCAAAAACAGGCACCGTAGTGTGTTTCTGCTGACCATTGCAGTGAGCAAAGTTTGCTGTGGGTTGCACAGGGCTGAGGATGATTTTCCATAACTCAGCAGGAGCTTTAGACGACAACAAACCCTCACCGTTGCACCTCAGATGCAGAACCGCTTGCATGGCATGCCAGGAGTAAGTGGGAAAGAGATGGAAGATGCTGTTTAGATATTGAAGATTCTCCCTCTCTAGCTCACCGCTAAGCAGCCGGCAGATCTCTTGCTGCACCAAGCTTTCACAATAGTTCTCTAGATCTTTGTCCGAAGCCTTCACCACTGATGTTTTGATGTCCTCCAACAAAATGAGACTCCTAAGCTCTGATTCGAGTGAGCTCATGAGCCTTTCTTGACCTGTGGAATGTTTCTCACCAGTTTTGATCTTCTGGTTGCGGAGGTAATCCCTGAGAATGGCAGCCAGCGATATGGGCGCTTGAAACATCCCACCTTTTTTGAGCTTCTCCACCGTGAGCTGTTTGCTACTTAGACTTCTTTGCTGATAGTATTTGCATGCCTCCTCAAAGACAGCCTCAACTAAGAGTGCACTCGAGTCTTCTGAAAGTGTTGGAGAAGGCTTCGGTTTTTGCGTGACCACAAACAGCCCGGTTTCTGACAGCATTAGTGGAGAGTGACTGTCCAAAGTGTTTATGAAGAGAAGACCTTCTGTTTTCAGGCTTATTCTTTCTAATTCCAGACCACATTTGGTGTCGATTAAGAAGAGGGTCCTGCCTATTGTTAGTGCCAGGATTTCGTTATATATTTTCAGGCTATTTTGGGTCCCACTAGCACTTAGGCAATTATCAGGAAGTTTGTATATGTGGTGAAGACTGCCATCCCTCTTCATAATGCATACCCAACCAGTGCTAAGAAGGAGAAGGAGGTCTCCACATCCAGTGGGAGAGAATCCACAGATATCAGGAGGATTTATGGTGGCTAGAAGGCCAATGCAGTCTGTAACAAGTCTCTTGAAGTCAGATTCCTTGCTTGAGCTTTTCATAAGTGTGCAACTACAGGCACTATGCACTTTAAAAGTATCATGTTCAGGAGACCATGCAAGAAACACTTTCAAAACACCCATGGAAGAGTTTTCCCTCATGTCTGGGAGCAGATAGACCAAATCCCCAGAACTGACGGTTGTGTATCGTGGATTATTGTGCAATGCAATTTTCACGTTTCCTAAATTGACACCTCCCTCATTAACTTCAATAGTCTTTTTGCAGATGCAGAACCTGAAGTTGCTGCACACACTATTGGAGTTCTCAGATGGTGGTCGCTCCTCACACCATATAATGACATTCTGACACATGCACACAGAACTGACTTTAGCACGAGGGCTGTTGCACAGATCCACAGTCTGGAGTAAATGCCAGCCTGATCTGCACTCTAGGAATTTCCAGAATTCCACTCTTCCATTCTCAAATATTACTCCCAGCACAGAGGCTCCGTCTTCTGGTTTGCTTTGAGGGATATAAATGACATCCACTACAGGCACATTTCCAGATAGCACTAAATCATTGTGTTTCTGGCATTGCATGAGATGAGGTCGCTGATATTTGTCATGTGTCATAAGACCACTCTTGGGCTGACGCACAATGACATGAATGTGACGTCCATCTGGACTCAGACGCACATCAGACAGGCAGGTTTGAGATGAGATGTTGGAGTATGCCTGCCTGAAAAACTCTTTTAGAACCTTTCCTTTCGTGAAATCACCGAAATCAGTCACTTGTTCTAATGCGAGTCGCGTCATGTTTGCTGAAAAGTCGATCTGGAATAGGAAGCACACGATGCGCGTGAAAACACTTTCAGTTTGGACCAGCGATCATCCACAATCTCCCTGAAACATGTCCAGTGCTCGTTTCACGCGTTAACTCCATCATATGACAATGTCATATCTCTACAGTTCATAAATCCTAGGAAATACATGTGATTTTCTCCTGTGCTGTCTGCTTCTCTCCCACTCCTCCTGACATCACGAGTTTGTTGTTAATTTCCGGATTCGAATGGCTGTGTGTCAATAACCACTGAGGCATTATTGTGCAACAACGCTCGCCACTGTGACTGCCAGAAATCCTGTCTAGGTAGGCAGCTTACTGAGTTTTGAAATACGCCCTATGCGGTGTTTTTAGTTTTTTTTTGCTCTGTTGGAAGGAGGGGTTTCATTCATTACTCTGTTCTCTAACCAGACACAACTTCTAACGTTACCTAAATACAATTTACCTAAATTTGCAGCTAAATACACAACAATTACCTAAATACATTTATAATTATTTGAAAAATACAAACTCGCAACTGAGTTTTTATTCTGGAAAAACCTAAAATATATCATCTGAACCGCTCAGTCAGTCATGACGTCAATTTGTAGGCTAACAAGAGAGGCTAATTCGCCATAGATTCATTTAGAAATGTCCTTTGTGTTTTTAAAATGGTTTTCGATGTATTGGTAAATTATGATCCTTGGTTAACATACAACACTTTCAGGGTTGTTTAACAACTTAGATTACATACTGTGTGTGTTTTTAAGGTAAATTGCTGACAAGTTGCTTAATAAGAACTACAACTACCACAAGGATGTGAGATTATGTGAGTGACAAATCGGACAAAAATTGTAGTTCGTAAATAGCAATTGTTATTGCTTAAACAATATTGTACACATAGTATAAAATATAAACCAGGGGAAGAACTAATAAATAAAATAATATCAAATACAATTATGATACTACAGTCATAGAATGCGTCGGAAATGACGTGAGGCCAGTAAACACACTTCCTTCTACTCCCGCGAAGATTTCATCGTTATAAGAAACCAAACATAATTTGTGTACAAGAAACATGGTTAAAACCTAACTTAAATTTTGTTCTGCAAGGATATAATATTGTAAGAAAGGATAGAAAGACAGGTAATGGAGGTGGGGTGGCCACTTTTATAAAAAAATGAATTAGAATACAGAGTCATTAATGAGATTGAAGAACATGAAGTGGGGGTTATAGATGTATATGCAGAGAAACAAAATATCAGAATAATGAATTATTATAATCCTTGTCGTAGATTAAGTAAAGATTTAGAAAAGGTTATTGGGTTAGGAAATCATAAAATAATTTGGTGTGGAGATTTTAATGCACATAGCACTTTATGGGGAAGCAGTAATGATGATCATAATGGGGATGTTGTAGAAGAAATAATAGACAGTAATGGGTTAGTATGTTTAAATGATGGTAGAAACACAAGAATAGATTTGGTACGTGGTATTGGGTCAGCTATAGATTTAACATTGGTTTCTGAAGATATAGCAAGTAAATGTGTATGGAATGTTTGGGAAGATAATAATATGGGTAGTGATCACTATATCATTTTATGTAAGGTAGGGATGAGTGTAATGGAACATAATGTGATTTTAGCTCCAAGATGGAGA